AATCCTCCTACAAAGAAAAGGTGAAAAGGATGGAAGCTTATTTGGTCATCCAGGCAGCACAAGGATGCCGAAACTAATACTACTGATTGTTTAAAATCAAGGGGCAGTGACTAAATCTGTCTGACCACATGGTGGTTGTACTTTATCTGGCAAGAGGAGCCATTGTTGGCTTCTTAGGAGCACGTTGATGAAATGTAGGGTTTTGCTGGTGTTTGGAAAACTCAAGCACAGGCCATCTGCAGCTGAGTGTTGACTATTGAGCTGCTTAGAGACAGATTGCAGTTGCTTCTTTGCCTACCCTGAGTACGTATCTCAACCCAGTAATTACTATTGATTTTCTATAGCACTCTGGATTATTGCTGCTGTAATATTTTCCATCTGTTGGGATTCAAGGCAACAAGAAGATCCCCTTGAATCTGACTTGAAATTTTTAGTATATAAATATGATATAGTAGAGATCCTGTGGAGGAAAGCTCTGCCAGTGTAAAAGCTGAGAAATGTTGACCTTGAATCTTTGGTAGCTGGTGCTAGAATGCATTTAGAGGAGGAGGATAAGAGCTTGTATTTGAACAACAATAGCAAAGTGCTTCAGAGCAGCATTACTTTTTTACTGTGCATGTTTTTTTAAAGAAGTAGAATGGAGATGGTATCTTTCTGAGGCTTTTCTTGCAATACTAGTGTGAATGAAGAATAAAAAGAATTTCTGACTTGTGTTACAGGCACTTGTGAAATGCCATCATTACAGTTGGTGGTAAATTTATGAATTATGTCTTACACTCTCCTCAGTACTCCCAGGTATTAATGTAAAATAAAGTTTTACTGAAGAAGCCCAAAAGTTCATATATCATGTATGTGGAGAATGAGGAAGCTTTTTTCAGAAGCCCACACAAAGTCATTTCATTTGATCCAATATAGTGCTGATTTGTATTTTTATGTATAAAACATAAAAACTATTTTGTCCATTTATGTGGATATGAATAGGGACACACTTACTTTTTAAAAATGTTTTCACAAAATTGTTTAGATGTATGAAGCAGATTGATAATGTCCAGGATGTACCCAGATAAGGTTTGATCAGTGAGTAATTCTGCAAATAGCCATGATGAAATTAATGGAGCCTCATGAGAAGAGATACAGCTGCCCATACCAAAACCTTTTGTAGGTTTATGAGAGATACTGTTTATGTTAACAAGTAGTCAAAGCTCTGAACTATTTGCTAATCAAGGTAACAGAGAGATAAAAGTCTAAAAACTCAAGGACTTTTTTGATTGAGAGCCAAGATGTGAAGATCTAAGTGCAGAAGAAGGTGAGGGAACTTGCAAAGTACAACAACCTTCTGTTGCTACCTGGTTGAAAAAAGGTTCTCAGTTTGTATGATACCGTTTTCTATAAGTGCCCATCCAAGAGACTGTAGACCCTTTGCCAGCTGTGTAGTAGCTCTTGTCAGATGTCATATCTATGTATAAAGAGCATATAGATATCAAAATAGATTTAAGGTAAGTGGTTAGGACATGCAGGGGAACACTAACTTTTATTAGCTGTATGGATTTTTTGTTCAATTTGTTTCTATTTTTTCCCAAAAAGGGTGTTGTCTTTAAATTGTTCCTGTAATACACCTGCAGGCTGATCCAGGAAGACTAGTCACAGTGACCAAGCATCCAGTCTCAGCAGGATGGAGGGTGGAGCAAGGTCACTTCCAATAGGATGCCAGCACTCAGGCAATGGCCCAGCTGGCAGGCTCTTCCCTTTGGAACCTCTTGATCATAAGCTGATTGTTTGGGGAGATGTTGATGTAGCAAGTGCCAGCGATTTCTGAGAAGTGTAGCCCAGAGGTATGTTTGCTGAGCTACTACCTCAGTGTACTGTAAGTTGAGCTCTGCTTGTGACAGAGGAACTCTGGAGTTAGTGTCTAGCTTCTTTCCTTCCCTTTTCTATTCCAGCTCCTTCTCTCCCTATTTCAGACAGGCTGTCTAACAAATATGTGCAGGTTTAGCTGGGACTGGCAGAGCTGAAGCAACAGCAGCTCGTTCCTTTCCTTCACTCCTGAAGAGTGATGCCTTGATTTCAAAGCCCTGCAGAGTCAGGGACAGAGATCCCTGTGTCGTGCTGCTTCTTGGCCAGATGAAGTTGGTGATACAGAGATGGTCCCAGCCTCCCATCACCATCTGAGGGTGCTGGGTGTGCACACGAACAGGAAACAGCTTTGTGAAGTGTCATATTTTGTCATGTCTATTTTGTCACATCACTCACCTGTGTTACTTTTCTGTAAGTTTCCATTAAGTTTTCTGCCTTTATTTTCAGGTTCAGTCATAGGAAATAAATTAAGATCCATCATTCAGTACAAAATAGACAACTGTAGGTAGGCTGTAGATTGCTACAACTACTGATAATGTTTGTCCAGTTTGACAGTTGCAGTGCCTGCTGCAGTGTAACTTGGCAGCTGTGCCGTGGTTACCCCGCAACACTGACAGTGGCTGTAGGGGACAATGCACAGTCCTTTCTCGTGGCTGGGCCATTTTTGCTGTGTACTAAGATGTCTTCTGTCAGATGTAATTAGTAACCTGGGGACACAGCCAACAAAGCTGTGAAGCTCCTGGTTTTGCCATATGGAAGGTACTGCTCTGGAGCCTGATGCTGCTCCCTGTACTCTGGGTGATCAGTGGCAGCCCTGATCCTCACAAGGAACTGGCTGCTTGGCCTCTGTGGGCCCAGCTCAGGGCTTGGGTATGTGAGGGGAGGGAATAGCTCAATAAAAATACCAGCTCTTTCCACCATGGGGGACAACTGATGGTAATTAAACCAGTAGCATTTTCCAGGACATGAAAGTGGCTGCTGCTATGTGATACAGAAAAATCACTTTCTGTTTCCATCCATTCCTAAAACAAACTACTTGTTCATCACTCTAATGGCTGAATAATTATGTAATTTTAGAAGAGTTTCCTACCATAGTGACTAAGAAATAGCTGTGTGTTGATTTTATCAAAAGTTTCTCAGCCAATTGTACTATACAAGGTTCTTGATTTTGATTACTGTTGTTATCTGGACTAAAACAGAAAGAAGTACTCTGATTTGTTTCCAGAAAAATAGGCTATTTTGCCTGTTTTGCTATAGCTTTGTCACTTTACCAAGACAGCAGCACATGTTTGTGTTGGCAGATTGGCTTTTATAAAATGTGTTGTACGCAGAGGTACTGTAAGATAGATGGGATGTTAAAATACTGTTTCCCTTAAGAAAAAAACCCTAGTGTTTGAGGCACTGTTATTTCCTGTGGAAGTTCCTTCAAGAGTGTTGGTCCATGCTAAAGCCACATTTAGTCAGTGCTTTGCAAAATAAGGAGCAATCCAAACCCCCTGCTGGGACAGCAGCCTCCCAGAAGTGGAGGAAAAATGGAGACTTGGATTTTGAAGCCTGAGCTGGCTTCAGTGCTGAACTGGTGAGCACTGGCACTTGTGTTTTGCATCCAAATTCAAGCAGTGTGCTGACCCTGAGGCCTTGTATTTCTTGTTTCTAATTTATACATTGCTCCTATTGCCTCTGGCACTGGTTACATAGTTCCCAGTCCTTTTCCTAAGCCCTGTTCCTTCAGCTGCCTATGCACATGGACCCAATGGCTGCTGCTCCCGTCCTGGACAGTAGAGATGAGATCCTGATCCCCAACAGATCCACACCACCCAGGGAATAACGTGAGTACAATAGTGTGAAAGAGGTCCTACAAGTATTATTTTATTTCATCTTAATTTTTTTTAAAATACTATATACAATCTGTTTAAAGCTCGTCATAATATGTGGGCTCCCATCCAGTGGAGCTGTGCAGGGACATAGATTCAAAACAAGAATAAAATCTTTACTGTTCATCTTCATAAGACACTTTTTCCCATTACAAAATAATTTTAAGAATAGTACCATTTATAAATGTATTTATATTCAACATCATATAAAATAAACCAAGACTTATACTCAATTCTAGACTTTTTATTTTTTTTTTTCTTGCATGGACTATATACAATATATACAGTAACTTCTCATTGTGTTTGTCAAATCAGCCTGATTATACCCACCAGGCATTAGCTTATATGTACAAATATGCTAAAAGTGCAAGACTTTATTATTTAAAGCTGCCTGTGTTTTCAGACATCTGGAATTGTGTGGCTTATCTCTATTTATATATAGATATACATCTGCATACACATAAATGTATATTAAAAATATGTATATCTATATATAGTTATATAGGTACTTGTGTACTAGAAAACCTCAGAACATTATGGCTGATAGGTCAACACTGATACTGGAGGCTAGCCCTGCTGCTATCAGTTACATCCCTGCCCTCTGCTTATCACCAACAAATCACACTTACGTTTTCTTGTAGGCAGCTGGGGGGTTATGAACCAAACCCACCAGCAACCTCCAATTTGAAATGAGTCATAAAAACACAGGTCATAGCTAACACCGAGGTAAACAAATACAATTCAACCTGAACAAAGAGATTTTTTTATCCATCTATTTTTTTGAGAGTGACAATATAAGGCAAAACCCCCCTGGCCCTGATTCAGACTTGCCCTTGGCTGGAGGCAGACTGTGCAAAGACCAAGCAAGCCCCAGAAAGGGTCAGTGGGATTTTGTCCTTTGGAGTATGTTGAGAAAACAAAGCCCTACCTGTGAGGCAGTGCCTGGGACTGTGCAGCCCCCATGCACCAGCAGCGAGGCCAGTGGCTGTGAGGGCTCTGAGAGTTTGGGGGGGGCCCATGATAAAGTGCATTTTTTTGTCTCTGGTTTTAACAAGGCTATTCTAATGTATGAACATCCTCACCAAGCTGCTGTGCTCTTTGCTGGGAGCTGTGAGCAGGGGCTCTGCCCCCAGCCCTCTGTCCCTGCAGACCAGGGCTGCCATCAGCAAGGCTCTGCCCAGGGCACAGACCCATCTGGCACACCCCCCACCC